AGTGGCGGAGTTCATTGTACATTGGAAAATTAAAACTGGTAACACCATCAGCTACCAAGGATTGTGAGCAGAATCTAAAAGAAGTGTAGTTTTTTGTTTGAGCAATAAAGAATTCTCTTTTATTGAACCAGGGCAGCAGATAGAGAAGGAGTCTCTCAGAGGGGGAAAAGGGAAAAGGAAAAAAAAAGATCTTTCAACCCCTGGGATCCAGAGCTACTTATTATTTACCAATGAAGTGAGCATCCATTTTTCTGAAGAAATGCTTGGTTTCTAAGAAAGCAAACTTGTCTTGTGGTTGTAGAAAATAGATGAAGGTGAAAGAATTATATTGGAATGAAAGCATTTGAAAATAAGCCTATAAATTCACCTACTTTATCTAAAAATCAGTTTTGATTTGTCTTTCTCAGAATATATTTTCTTTGGAATTAAAAAAAAATCTGTCACAGATACCAGGGAAGTCTTTAAGGTTTTTTGTGAAATGCGTTAGAAGGACACTGAGATGACCCATCAAAATTTTAACAAGATCAGCAGAAAAGATGTGGCTCTCTCTTAGGCTTTTTGAGAGTTGCATAGAATAGAGAAAGGATATTATTTTAAAATATCATTTTCCATTTGTTTTCCAGGATCAGAAAAAAGAAATTAAAACCAATTGGATTTAAGAGTCTCTGCCTCTTAAAAAACCAGAGGCAGTCAGACCTTTAAGCTATAGCCAGGAGATATAAATACACAATTGTTCAATTGTTACACTGCCCAGGAGAGAGGCAGCTGTGGGCTCTCCTCTGCAAAGCCCTAAACTGACTTTTGCCCTAAGCCTCAACTAACCTCAACTAGACACAGAGTCTCGAGGAGTCGGCAGGGGCTGAGAATTCTAGCCAGGCAGCGATGGCCGGCAAGCACTTGCCAGCTCTACCTCCTTGAGTGAGGGGTACCAAAACCTCTAATAATTCGATGCTTTTCTGAAAGAGGAGGATGACAGCTTCATTAGGTTCTTTAAAGGGACAGCAAGCTGTCATTTTAAAATCCTACTAGACATTTTTCCCTCTTAAAAAAAGAACCTCTGAAGGCAGATTTAAACTGAGAGGGTAAAAAATAGTAAGTTTTGCAATTAAAGAACAGCTCAGAGAAACTGAATTGGAGGGCAGATTTCTAGATCTGAGAAGCAGAGTGTTGGCTTCATTATTGAAGATTAGCTTGCCCCTGGATGATTTCACTGCTTGGATGGTTTCAATTATGCTATATTACAACTGTCCAAGGTCTTGGCTGTAGATAATATTCTGACATTAAGTGAAAACGCAAAATCTCCTAACTGCTCTTACTAAGTTGTTCAGTTCCGTTTGGCTGTGTGGTGTGAATTCATTCAATCAGACTGATCTCCTCCCAACAATAGTCACGACTCTGATTCTCTGCAGGAACTGCATTAATTCCGGAAGCAGTGAGTTTGGAAGGAGGGATAAGTCAATTCAGCGTGCATTTATAGTTGCAAGTAATAACCACCCAAAATCTAACCCCCAAAAGATGGATCAGGAAATAGAAAAACTTATCTCTCGTGGAATGAAAGTAGTGGAGGTAATTATTGGGGTCCTTCACTGAGCATGTAATGATCCCATGAAGGTCTGGGGTCCTTCCAACTTTGCTTGCTTCCATTCTCTTCATTTTGAGTGCTTCTGCAAGAGGGCCTCTATAGCCCCAAATACGGCCAATTCACACATCATTTAAAGTCAGGAAAAGAGGATCTTCTCATCTGTGACTCACTTTGGGAATGAAGAAAACTTCTAGGAATTCTTTCAAAAAATTGTGTCACTCCTGCTCTTGGACTCCAATCACATGGCAAGAAAATGATGTTCAAAGGACCCGTTTATATTTGCAAACTATGAAACCAAAACTATTGAGACTGGAAAACGCAAAAGTCTACACCAAGAATGGAAAAGTCAGGGACATGCAGCTGGCTATGAACCATACTGGCAACAGGATTCTTTAAGAACATAATTATTCTTTTGGATTTTTTTTATATTCAATGAGTAAAATAAAATTTAAAAGGGTAAGAATTGGGTCAGAGAGATAGTATGGGAAGTAGGTTATTTGCCTTGCAAAGAACCTATCCGGGTTCAATCCCTGGCACCACTTAAGTCCCCAAGTACCACCAGGAGTACTCCTGAATGCAGAGCCTGAAGATAAAAAGAAAGCAAAATAGGGGCTAGAGAAATAGTACAGTGTGTAGGGTGTTTGCTTTGCACACCGCTGACCCTCATTAGATGCCCAGCATCCTGTATGGTCCCCTGAGCACTGGCAGAAGTAATTCCCGAGTGCAGAGTTCAGGAGTAACCCCTGAGCATTGTCAGGTGTGGCCCACCCAACAACAACAAAAACAAAAACAAAAAGGCCCCAAACAAAAACAAAACCAAACCTAAACCCAGACAATCTTGCAAACCAATGTTGCCTCAATAAAAGAAAAAGAAATATCAATTGTAAAGAAAATAGCTGTAAAGAAAAAAAATAAGCTATATTCTGGAGAAATCAAAGTAAATTCAGAAGCCTCAAAGTTTTCCAAGTCGTTCAATTTCTTTTGCTTCAATTTTGAAAACTTGAAAAGTTTTTTTTTTTCAATGAAAAATGTTCCCCTTTCTCCGAATTCTGTTTTCCCTGTGACCAGGGGCTGCGGTGCAGGGCTCTGGTGCTCATATATGTGGTTGAGGGTTTTCTGGGGGAGCTCACTTTAGTTGTGGTGCCCTCTCAGACTTGGCCACAGTGCACCAGAGTAATGGCAGAGAATTCCCTGAATAGTGCTGAACTGGAAGGTGATCCCACAGCATGGTATGTTTGTGTGTGCGTGTGTGTGTGTGTGTTTGTGTGTGTGTGTGTGTGTTAGGGTGCCAGTGGCAGTCATTAAGAGAGAGAGAGAGAGAGAGGGGCGTTCTGGGCCGTCCTTCACGCCCAACCGAGGTCACCAGCTGCCCCCCACGAGCGGCTCTCCGGCATGGCCACGGCCCTGGAGGCACAAGGACTTAGCACAGAGAGCCAGCCGCTTGGAGCAGAAAAGCAAATGGACTATGTGTTAAACCGCGCCACCAAGCCTGCCCGGAGGGGAAAGGGTGTTGTCTCGCTCGCCCGCTCCTCTCTGGAAAGAAAAATGGCGGCCGCACGGGAGCCTTGTGGACAGCAGGTTTGAGCCGGGGGCGGGGGTGGCAGGGGCCGCATGGGAAGGGGGGCGTTCTGGGCCGTCCTTCACGCCCGACCGAGGTCGCCAGCTGCCCCCCACGAGTGGCTCTCCGGCACGGCCACGACTCCAGAGCACAGAAACCAATCTCTTAACTATCTAACTTTTAATAGAAATACTTCCAGGGTTAATAAGTGAAACAGCAGAAATCCAAAACCATCATTTTATTCTTAAACCAAGCTGTAGAAAGCAAATCATTTCACAACGCTGTTTCAGCGTATCTGATTGGCGGGGGTGGGGTCGTAAACTTTAAACAATAATTGTGCATCTTCTATCGAAACAATGTATCTAGTCAAAGTAGATAGAGTATTAACTAGAACTCATCTGCCTCACAGGAATTGGGAGGGGTGGGAGGTGGGGTTCTATTGGGGTTCACGGTTAAAAATAAGTATTGGTAAAGGGAAATGTGTGTGATACTTACATGACTGAGACCTAAACCCGAAAGCTCTGCAACTTTTCCCACAGTGATTCAATAAAGAAATAAATTATAAAAAGAGAGAGAGAGAGAGAGAGAGAGAGAGAGGAGAGAGAGACACGTTCTTAACCCCTAGGCTGCAGAGGGATAAATGCAGAGTTTTTGAGTGGAGCAAGGATACCCACCCACAGTAAATGCTGTGGTTGGAGATATATTTTGGAACTATTTTGAAGCAGACTTTCATGTATTTCAAGCTAAAATTATGCCTATGTAAACAAGCAAGTATGCTTAATAATGTCCTCCAGGCTTTATTTCCACATAGGGCAACTAGCACTAAAAATATTAGGCAAATCAGTAATGTGAGACTTTACTTCTCATTTTTACTTGAATCTGAAACATTATTTTTCATTTTTATAATAATGTAGCTCATCCTCGCACGGATTTCTATTCTTGGCAAAATGAATCAGTAAGAGGGTGTACTTTTACAGTGTTCGGGAGAATTAAATCTCTATCACCGAATTAAGCCTGCTTTTCTACCATCTGAATAACGTGAGATGCATCTTTTTCTCCTCTCCTGAGATATTCACTTACATACTTAATTATTTATTGTTTTAGGGGCCACACTCAGCAGTGCTCAGAACTGACTCTTGGCTCTGTGGGCAGGGGTCACTCCTGGAGATGCTCAGGGGACCATATATGGTGGGGACGGACTGTTTCCCTTCAGGCCATCCGCTAACCCCAGTACTATTTCTCCTAACACCCTTCAGAACACACATCCTTACGAGAACAGGAATTAATGTAAAAATAGAAAACTGAGAGTTTTATAAAGAGAAGAAAACATTTTCATTGCGGCCAGCAATAGGATTTCCAAAAGCAGATAGCTCTCCGGTTATGGTCAAAACTAATTAGCATCTTTCCCTTTCTTTGTTTTCCCCCTTCCTGGGGAATCCAGGCCCTGGAGTGGGGTCAGGATCACCATGGTACTTGCTCTAGGGGTCAAGCTCAGACCTCACACTTGCCCTGGGTACTTTCTAAGAGACTGACTCATCTTCAGGGGCACTTTTCTCCGGGGGTTCCCAAACAGGTGTGTGGTGGCACTGGGGTTTGAACTTGCTGCCTCTGTATTTTCCAGACAAGTGCTTTAAGCCACTGAGCTACCTTTTGGGCCCTCTTTACTGTGTGTGACAAACAGTAAGATAGTTCCAATTCCCTTAACACATAGTAATTCCCTTTGCATATGCCCTTAGCATCTAAGTAACTGGTGAAAAATACAAAGAGAACGACTCATTACATTGAACAAACACTACCACCTTTTATGTTCTTCTTCAACACCAAAGGTGCAGTTTTTCACAACAAAAGTATACCCAACATTCATGTATCAATGAATAAATGCGCTTAAAATTACCAGAAAAATGAAAATCATTAATGGTTATACAAATCTTTACAACAGGAATGGGTTATCCAATAAGAATGATTCAGAAACGAATTAAAAATTCTCCTTACCAGCATTGAAACTCGGCACAGCATCACTTCTGTTCTCTTTCCATGAAAGCAGGCATTCAAGGCTGTTGTGATCTGCAGCTTCGATGTAATTAGTGACATTCAGCATCATCTTATGAGCTTTTGCTATTCCATAATGAACTTTGGTTTCATCCATCATAGTAGCATTCGTTAACTCTGCTGTTGTTTTAAAAGCTTGCTGAAAATATTCAGTAGCTTTGTTGTATTCACCCTAAAAATGGAAGGCTAAAATAATTTTTTCTTGTACTGATGATTCTATCAAGTTGAACTATATGAAATCTAAGTATTGTTTGTTTGCTTATTTTCTGCAGTAACTTTAAAAAGTCAGGATCATACAAACCTAAATAAAATAGATTTCTAACGAAAACAAAAAAACAAAAAGAAAGCCCAGGAGAGGCAACATTATATAATGATCAAGGGATCAACTAATCAAGATGATATAACAGTTATTAACACACATGCACAAATCGAAACGTTATCAAAACACAAAAGACAATGATAAGCAGACCTAACTAGAAACATGGGTAGTCACACAATGGTTAGAGGACTCAACAACCCACTTACATTAGTAGGTTAATCAACCCACAGAAAATCAAAATGTAAACAACAGCTTGAAGTCATGAATTAGACCAGATGGTTTAATAGGTATTTATGTAACATTCCACTCCCTGAAAGGTGAGTTTTTGTTCATAATAGTTTTCTGTACATAAAACATTCTTGAGGATAGACCACATTTTGAAATACAAAATATGTATTGATAAACTAATAGATTGAAAATATATTAAATATGTTCTCTGATCCCAGTGGTATAAAATGAGAAATAAAAAGAAAGTCAAAAATAATGCAAAGAGACTGAACAATATATCATCAAATATACTAATCATTCCTTAAGGAAATCTAAGGTAATTTTAAAAAAATTTTTTATTAGTGAAACACCATGAGGTACAGTTGTAGACTTAAAATTTTTGTGCTTGGGTTTCAGTTATACAGTGATTGAGTCCCCATCCCACCACCAGTGCCCATTTCCCACCACCACGGATCCCAGCATCCCTCCCACCCCCCATCCCCCCCATCCCACCCTGCCTCTGTGGCAGGGCATTTCCTTTTGTTCTCTCTCTTCTATTGGGTGTTGTGATTTGCAAAAGAGACAATGGGTGACAATCATGTTTGGTCTATAGTCTACTTTCAGCATGCTTGTCCCATCCTGGGAGAATCCTCCCAACACCCTTTATTTGGTGGTCCCTTCTCGATCTGAGCTGCCTTTTCCACTAGCGTGTGCGGCTGGCCTCCAAGCCATGGAGTAAACCTCCTGGTACTTATTTCGGCTATTCTTGGGTGTTAGTCTCCTATTTTGTTACTTTATGTTCCTAAGGTAAATTTTTAAAAATGTCTTGGACAATCAAAAATGAAGCCAAGAGCTTGGAGAACCTATTGGATTCTGTAAAAGCAGTCCTATGAGGGAAGTTTGTAGCAATATGGGCTTATACAAGAAAAAATTCAAATAAAAATTTAATTTTGTACTAAGTGAACCAGAAAAAGAAGTATGAGGGAAGTATATGGCAACACAGACCTATATAAATAAATAAGAAAAATTCAAGTAAAATTTAACTTCATACTTCAATGAACTAGACAAAAATGAATTAATCCAAAAGCCAGAAGAAGGAAACAAATAATAAAAATTAAAGTGTAGCATCACAGAGTTGAGAGAAGGATAAAACTGATTTAACAAGAAGTTTCTGGCAAGGTAAAGGAAGGGTGGGGGAAATAAGCCTTCAGTGATGTTTTTGTTACACTCAGGAACAACACAATGCAACACAGTTAGATACCAATAAGGAAGATTCATAGGGTCACTTATTCAAATAGTTCACCCAACTAAATTTGCAAATGTAAATTTTAAATGTAGAGACCCTCTCAGTGCATGCTGTTCAGCTCTTGTAGCGCTGGGCAGAGCTGGTTGCCCATCTGATAGCTCTCGGAGGCCTCCCAGATTATGCCCAGCCATGCATGGAGTCCTACAGAGCAGTGAGGTCCAACTGGTGCTGGCCATACTTAAGGCACCTTAGTCCCATACCTTCCCTCCAACCCCCCGATAGGAGTATTTTTATACATACTGTTTTGTAATGAGAATTCATGTTGTATATTGTATTTTCGCTTTTTTCAATTCCTAAAGAGTTTAACATCTGAGTTGAATATTTTCTCCAAAGTTTCTGCCTGAATTTCTACAGGTCATTGCTGTTATAAGGTAAGTCCTATCCTACGTTGTAAATTCAGGATATTCTTGTAGTTAATCCAAGAAATCTTATATATGAATTTGAGAATAACTGAATATTTCTACTTCACAAATAAATCTTATTGGAAGTGACAACTTCATTTAATGTTATAAATAGCCCTGATTAGCATTTAGGGAACAATTTCAGGACAGGCTCTTGATGACATCATAGATCTAAACCAGAATATAAATTGTGACATAGAGTTTTCATGCATTATTCTGAGTCTTACCAGATTCTTTTGTGTCAAAAATGTCATTATCCAATGAGCAAGCTCAAAGTAAATGGGATTTTTTTTATAGTGTTAAGAAGAATAATTACTTATATATTCACCTACTATTTTAGTGTCGGAAATACCATTGTTTTAAATGTACATTTATCTCTGATTTTATTAGGAAATGACAAATATCATAAAAGGCTATACTTTGTCATTTTCACTAAAACATTCTCATTTGACCACTTAACATTAATTATATATTTTATATTAATAGTCCATCAAGAGATCACATCAGGAGGATGAGAAGCAGCTCACCTTCCAGGATTATATGGTAAAAGGTAAATGGATTAGGATAAAGAATATTTTAAAGAATATTTTAAAATGCATTAGTTCTAATCTAGATAGGTCTGAATTATAACAGTGGCCCTATAATCCTATTTCCTAGGGTTATTGCTAAGAATATAATTTGAATACACTGCATGAATAACATGAAGCCAGGAAAGGTATGATGAGGACTCTCTGAAAGGAGCCGGAAAGACAGACTGACATGTGTCAGTGGGATTAATTTCAAAACTCTACACATTTTCAAAGTGCTAAAATATTGCACCAACGTGAACAGAAGTCTTGGACTGCAATAGTGCAATAATACTACTCTCCAGTGATATGAAGTGGGTTCCAAATTTGTTGACTGATTCAGAGAATTCACATAATTTGTACTCCAGCCTCCAAGTCTGGTTCCAATTTAGGCATTGGAATAAAGTAATGAGTGGGGCAGTAGTGGTCCCTTTTCTCATTAAGCTTTCATTACAGCCCAATTAAACAAAAAGAACCTATGTTAAAAAAGAAAACAAAAAGTGGTACATGGGGAATAAAAATAATGTGACTTGGTGGCTTTAAAAAGTTTGGGTGGTTAAAGATGTTGGGAGGATCCTCCTAGGATGGGAGAAGCATGCTGAAAGTAGACTATAGACCAAACATGATTGTCACCCATTGCCTCTTTTGCAAACCACAACACACAATAAGAGAGAGAGAGAACAAAAGGGAATGCCCTGCCACAGAGGCAGGGTGGGATGGGGGGGATGGGGGAATGAGGGGTGGGAGGGATACTGGGATCCGTGGTGGTGGGACATGGGCACTGGTGGAGGGATGGGTATTTGATCATTGTATAATTGAAACCCAAGCACAAAAATTTGTAAGTCTGCAACTGTACCTCATGATGTCTCACTAATAAAAATTTTTTAAAAAGTTTGGGTGGTTAAGAAAGGATACTTGAGTCTGGAAGGGTAGCAGGGAGGGCTACCTGGAGGTGAGGACTCCTAACCTGAGCCTGGAAGTTAAGGGGGGAAGAAACTGGTTAGTTTCCATAGTTGTAAATGACTTTTACAGGTTGGGCTAACCCCAACCAGTCTGCTGGGGATCCCCAACCCTGGGCTTGCACAAAGCTCCTTCCCTGTCCCTTTTACTAACTGAGTCATTATTTACAAATAATTCTCTTTACATTGACTTGCTGTTCCTGGATTTGGGGCAGGGGAGGACTTTTTTTTTTAGGTGTGCATGTGGGGTTTTGGTGGTGGTGGTGGTGTGTGTGGGTACTTCTGGTGGTGCTTAGGGACTCAAAAATTTGGGGTGGTTAGTTTATTATTATTATTATCATCATCATCACTATTAATTTTTTTTGGCCACACCCAGAAATGCTCAGGTGTTATTCCTGGTCTTGTACTCAAGGGAATGCTCAGAGAACCATAGAGATGCCAGGGATTGAAACTGACCTGATGGCGAGCAAGGGAGATGCCCTAACCACTGTATTATCTCTTTGGCCCCAAGCTTTTAAGTTTTTTTTCTTTTAATTGAAGGCCACTCTGAAAATGTGAACTTGAACTGAGATGAGAAGAGTGAGAAGCCAGCTCACTGAAGTTCTTGGTGGAGAGCAGTCTATGTAAGGCATCGGTGAGGCAATGGCCTCCATCAAGGACACATATTATTGGAGGAACTCTATGAAATTCACAGTGCTAGGACTGTGAGGAGGGCGGGAAATGAGATGGTCAGAGATAGGGTATGGTGGAAGCATGTTCATGTGGTTAGGGGGAGGATTTATATGGCTATTTCCAGAAGAATGGGGAGGAAAAGAAAGCATTTTAAACAGGAGAAATGGCGTGTTTTGACTTGAAATGGCGTGTTTCAAAAGGATTCCTTAGACCGCAAACAGAACTGTATGGGGGAGGAGTGGAGAAATAGTCTCAGAGCTTACTGCAGTCAGTTCTATGTCATAAATGAGTTTGGTGACAGTAGTAGAGATGGAAGAGGACAGATTTGAGATAATTGGTGGCATGATGTTATGCTCAGGGTTGCTTTCTGGATTGTTCATGAAGTGGGAAGAGAGAAGAGTAAAAGATTGCTCAGTGTTTGGGTCATGCCACTAGGTTGTTGAGTAATGATGCGTATTACTATGGGAAAGACTTAGAAGGAGTAGGTTAAGGGAAGGAAGAACCATGTTAAACTTGGATGCTTCTTAGGCATTCAGGTGGAGAGGCTAAGCAGGTAGTGGGTTTTCTAAGTCTAGAGACTGGAGAGATCAGGGCGAAACATACAAATTTGGGAGTCAGCTTATGGATGGTATGTAAAGCCAGGGTTCTGATGAAGTCAATGAGGGACTACTAGAGCTGAGAAGCAAATGATGCTTTAGAAATGGCTTGAATACTTGACTACTGGGCTGGAGCGATAGCACAGCGGTAGGGCATTTGCCTTGCACGCAGTCAACACGGCCGACCCGAGTTCGATTTCTCCGCCCCTCTCGGAGAGTCCGGCAAGCTACCGAGAGTATCTCGCCCGCACGGCAGAGCCTGGCAAGCTCCCCGTGACGTATTCGATATGCCAAACACAGTAACAACAAAGTCTCCAATGGAGACGTTACTGGGCCCCCTCGAGCAAATCGATGATCAACGGGAGGGCCTTTACCTTTTGCTTTTGCTTGACTACTATATTGGCTGAATGTTAAGTTGGTAGAGATTTAAATTTTAAGAGGAAGACAATTATAGTCGAATTCCATTTTTAACAATACCTATACTCACTTTTTCATTGTAGATCTCCCCAAGCATCATACTTGCTTTCACAATATCAAGGTTTTGAAAATTGTTTCTTGCAATTTTCAACAATTTTTTCAAGTATTTAATTGCTTCTGTCATCTTTCCTTGGCTAGAACGAGTAAAACAAGAAATTATTGAAGCACCATCTCACTTAAAAGTTACAAACAAGAGAAGATGTATCTTATCTCTTCTGTTTTTTACTTTAAAAAGTGCAATATGATTATTAGGCTAATAAAATTTAAAAATAAACATTGAGTGTTTGAAACGTGGCTTATCTTTGTGGGAGTTTAGTTCAAACTTAAGCCTTTAATTTCTAATGCATTGCTGGTGGGATTAAAATGGGGAACTTTTTTGAACAACTTGTAAGTTCATTAAAATTTTTAACAAAGTGATTATAAGGCCCATAACAATTTTCCTAAAATTTTACCTGAAAAAAATAAAAACCATGTTCATACAAAAATTTATATGAACAAAAGTTCATACATGAATGTTCACTGACACATTACATATATTATTAACAGTATCTAAGAAGCAGACACAATACAAATACCAATTTAACTGATGGCAAAATAGACTAATACAAAGGAATATTATTCAGCCACGTAAAGACATAAGTAGTGATGAACTACAATATCATAAGAATATGCTAAATGAAAGAAGCCAGTCACAAAAGCTTGTATGTAACTCACTCAAAAACTATAATATGATTTCATGTACATGAAGTGTTCTTAGTGGGAATATTTATAGAAATGCAAAGTACATGAACAGTGTGGAAGCGCAAGTGACTGATGATCAGGGGAGTTCCTTTGGAGTGGCAAAAATGAGATGAAATCAAACAAGTGGTGATGACTGTACAACTCTTAGGTACTGAAAACCACTGAGTCACTGCCCATTTTAAGGTGATTGAATTGTATGTATATAAATTACAGCTCCATAAAGTTAAAAAAAACATCTGGGCAAGAATGATAGTATAGCAGGTAGGTAGGGCATTTGCCTTGCATGCAGCCGACCCAGGTTCGATCCCCAGCATTCCATATGATCCTCTGAGCATGCTAGTGCAGTCCCTGAGTGGAGAGCCAGGAGTAACCCTTGAGCACTGCTGGGTGATAAAATAAAAAAAAATAAACAAAACATTTAAGCAATTGACATTTTCCATATTCTTTTATAAATGAAGGTAGTTCGTTGAAGGGAGGCATTTGTGATTCATAAGATACCTTCAGGAGGGATTAAAAGTAAATGGGATTTACAAATATAGGGCATTCTGAAATTTCTCAAAGATGACTTCTAGACACCATGCACAAAAGTCAGATCAAAACGGATTAAAGATCTCAACATCAGGCCAAAATCCATAAGGTATATTGAAGACAAAGTCAGCAAAACCCTCCAGGATATTGAGGCTAATGGTATCTTCAAAGACGACACTCCACTGACAAACCAAGTGGAAACAGAGGTAAACAAATGGGACTATCTTAAATCAAGAAGCTTCTGTACCTCAAAAGATGCAGTGACCAGAATACAAAGACATTCTACAGAATGGGAAAGGATATTTACCCAATACCCATCTGATAAGGGGTTGATATCAAGGATATAGAAAGCACTGGTTGAACTCCTCAAGAAGAAAACATCCAACCCCATCAAAAAATGGGGTGACGAAATGAAAAGAAACTTTCTCAAAGAAGAAATCCGAATGGCTAAAAGGCACATGAGAAAATGCTCTACATCACTAATCATCAGGGAGATGCAGACCAAAGCTACAATGAGATATAATCTCACACCACAGACTGGGCCCACATCCAAAAGAACAAAAGCAACCAGTGTTGGCATGGATATGGTGAGAAAGGGACTCTCCTTCACTGCTGGTGGGAATGCCGACTGGTTCAGCCCTTTCGGAAAACAGTATGGACGATTCTCAAAAAATTAGAAATTGAGCTCCCAATTGACCCAGCAATACCACTCTTGGGAATATATCCCAGAGAGGCAAAAAAGTGTAGTCAAAAGGACATCTGCACTTCTATGTTCATTGCTGCACTATTCACAATAGACAAAATCTGGAAAAAACCCGAGTGCCCGAGAACAGATGACTGGTTAAAGAAACTTTGGTACATCTACATAATGGAGTACTATGCAGCTGTTAGAAAAGGTGAAGTCATGAAATTTACATACAAGTGGTACTACATGGAAAGTTTTATGCTAAGTGAAATGAGTCAGAAAGAGAGGGACAGACATAGAAAGACTGCATTCATCTGGGGAATATAAAGTAACAAAATAGGAGACTAACATCCAAGCATAGTTGAGATAAGTACCAGGAGGTTTACTCCATGGCTTGAAGGCCAGCAGCATATGCTAGGGGGAAAAGGCAGCTCAGAGAGAGAAGGGAACACTAAGTAAAGGGTGTTGGGAGGATCCTCCCAGGATGGGAGATGCATGTTGAAAGTAGACTATAGACCAAACATGATTGCTACTCAATGCCTCTTTTGCAAACCACAACACCCAAAAGGAGAGAGAAAACAAAGGGGAATGCCCTGCCATAGAGGCGGAATGGGATGGGGGGACGAGGGTGTGGGAGGGATACTGGGATCATTGGTGGTGGAGAATGGGCATTAGTGGAGGGATGCGTACTTGATCATTGTATAACTGAAACCCAAGTACAAAAACTTGTAAGTCCACAACTGTACCTTATGGTATTTCACTAATAAAAATTTAATAAATAAATAAATAAAATTTCAGGGCTAGGAAGAATAGAAAAAAAGATCAAATCACAAATCACAAATCATCCTGTTATTCGTCGATTGCCTCGAGCAGGCCCCAGTAACATCTCCTTCATCCTAGCCCTGAGATTATATTCAAGGCTCTTTAGGAGAATGAGACCCATCATTGTTACTGGTATTTGGCATATTGGGTATGCCAAGGGGAGTTTGCCAGACTCTGCCCCCGCGCCTGACTGTCCTCGCTTGCCGGGACCCCTTGGAGGGGAACGGGTTGAGCTTTCCTCCCTGCCCCGACCAGGGATCCGGCAGCCAAAGACCTCCAGGACCAGCCACCACGATGCTGAGACCACTCTCCACACACATGAAGGTACTGGCAGAGGGACAAAGTCACACAGGTTCCGTGGCCGAGATCTCCAAGCCTACTCGGATTTGGGCCGAGCATCCTCCACCCAGATCCTCCAAATTCCAGTAGGCGGGGGTCACACCCACCAACTGGCCCCCTGGCGCCGTGTAATCCCATCAGAAAAAAATGATCACTTCTAGCAAAAAGAGAAAGATGCCACAAGCTGGTAAGGCCTTGACTTCCAGAAGATAGGATATAAGCATCTGGCAAGTTCAAAGAAGCTCTGTAAGCAAGAAATAATATTTTACTGGGATGTGTCAGAGACATTTTGAAGGCTGTTAAAACAATTCAAATTCCCGAAGCTTATCAAAACAAATGTGGCTATTTCCCCCTTTCATGAAGAATAGAGGGGTATAAAAATGCATAAAATATTTCAGTGAGATATTCTGAAGGAATTACAAGTTCTGTGAAATATTAAATAAAACTACTCAATCTATATAATGGACTGTTACCTCATAGGTTAATAAATTTGTTGTTGTTGTTGTTATTATTGTTGTTTTGGGGCCACATATGGTGGTGCTCACTGGATACTCCTACTCTCAGGAGAAATATTTTTGACGAAAATATTCTAGAAAGTTTAACATTTTTTAGAAAATGCCCGAGAACAGATGACTGGTTAAGGAAACTTTGGTACATCTACACAATGGAATACTATGCAGCTGTTAGGAAAGATGAAATCATGATATCTGCATATAAGTGGATGGACATGGACAGTATCAAGCTGAGTGAAATGAGTCAGAAAGAGAGAGACAAAGAATGACTGCAGTAATTTGCGGAATATAAAGTAACATAATCGGAGACTAACAGCTAAGGACGGTAGAGATAAAGGCCAAGAGAATTGTTCCACTGTTGGGAAGCCGGCCTCACATACTGGGGGAAAAGGCAATTGGGATGGAGAAGGGACCACTAAGTAAATGATAGTTGGAGGCATTGTTTGGTATGGGAGATATGTGCTGACAGTAGACGAAAGACCAAAAATGATAGCCTCTTAGTATCTGTATTGCAAACCATAATGCCCCAAAGTAGAGAGAGACTAAAAAGGAATATACTTGCCACAGAGGCAGGGGGTGGGATGGGATGGGGGTGGCAGGAGGGACATTAGAACATTGGTGGTGGAAAATGTGCACTGGTGTAGGGATGGGTGCTTGATCATTGTATGACTGAAACTTTAATCATGAAAGTTTATAACTGAATCTCACAGTGATTCAGCAAAAAAAATCCAATTAAATACATTTATGTTATTTATAAAATAACCCCAAGAGTGGTATCAGCATTGCTAGATTTCCTATGAGGCATTACAAATGGTTTGTTTATAATACCAAATAGAATGAGATGAAAACAAGGGGATGAGTTAACTCAGACTAGAACTCATGTTCAATTTAGAAAAAAATTCAAACTGCCTTTGAATGCTGTGGCTTCAATAAAATATTTTGGTCTGTATGCTTTTTTTTCTATGATCTGTATGAAAATAAACAGCAAGAACTCACAACTTTTTAATAGCAGGTAGGCCGTTTGCCTTGCACGCAGCCGACCTGGGTTCGATTCCTCCCCCCCCTCTTAGAGAGCCGGGCAACTACTGAGAGTATTCTGCCCACACGACAAAAGCCTGGCAAGCTACCTGTGATGTATTCGATATACCACAAAACAGTAACAACAAGTCTCACAGTGGATACATAACTGGTGCCTGCTTGAGCAAATCGATGAACAACGGGAGGACAGTGCAGACAGTGTAGTACTATTTGATAGAATTAAATATCTTTAGTTGCATGGCATTTGAATTATACCTTCAAAAGGTTTGTAAAGGTGAACAGCAGTTCTTTTTTGCTTGTTTTGTGTTTCTCACCACACCCAACAGTGTTCAGAGGCTACCCGTGGTTTGTGCTTGAGGTTTGCTCATGGCAGTATCCTGAGGACCATATGACACTCGGGATTGAATCTGATCCTCCTGCGTGCAAAGCAAGTGCTCCACCCTTTTGCATTCTCTGTCTGGCCCAAGAG